GGATTTTGGTTTCTAAATGCTATTCTTTTAAAAAAAATTCCAGATCTTTGCCATAAAAAAGTTACTATTATTATTTTGGGATTTTGAGGCAGTTTTGCTATGTAGTTCAAGCTGGGCTTGAACTCACTGTGTAGCCCAAGGTAGCCTTGAACTTGTGACAATCTTCCTACCTCACCCTCCCAAGTGCTGGGATTACAGGCATGTGCCACCACTCCTGGCTCCTAAACATTATTGATTTATATACACTGACCTAGCCATTGTTTCCTTCTGTGCAGGAAAACAAAAAGCAATGGCCTCTAATTTCAATTATGCACATTGTAATGGAAAAAAAGGTGTAGGAACTTAGTATAAGCAGATAGTCCTCTCACTTAATTCAACTATAAAATTAAGTAATAATTTACCAACCTATTATCTAAAAGAATTCAGATCTTTTTTCTTATATGTGAAAGATATAATGAAAGATAAAGTTAAAATAAGTGGGTTGGGGAAGAAAAATCTATGAGGAATGTGAGAATTGCTGATGTATTAGTTCTGGTAGTTTTGTGATAGATATTGTAGGGTTTTCTGCATGAAAAATTACATCATCTGAATGGAGATAGTCATATGTTTTCCTTTCTTAATTTGCCCTCTTTTTTTTTTCCAGAGGCAAAACATTTTCACTTTAAATAATGAGGTTAGTGTCAATATTTTTTAGATGGGCTTTATCATGTTGAGCAAGCTCTCTTTTGTTCTTAATTTGCTAAATTTTTTAAAAATCATGAATGGGTACTGAGTTTTGCCAGAAACTGTATCTGTCAAGATGATTATATAGGCTTTTAAATTACTTGATGTGGAGAATTACATTGTGTTTTGATTATTGTGAATCAGCTGTGCATCCTGTGATCCTCCTTACTCGTTCATGGTATACTTTCCTTTTTTATATATTGTTAAATTTGATTCTCAGTATTTTGTTAAGCATTTTTTCGTCTTTGATTATGAAGGATTTTGGTGGTTTTCTACCTGTTTTCGCTTTGATACCAGAGCAATAGTTGATTTATTTTTTGTATATGTGCCACTGAAGGAAGCACATGGTTTTTGAATATGTTTAATTTTGTTTCTCTTAAAGAGATTTAAAGGAGTGATATTATCCTTTTAAATTTTTAAAGAATTTGCCAGTAAAAGCTCTGACATTTAGGTCTTTCATTTAAGGAAGGTTTTAGACTATAAATTCATCTTCATTAGTAGTCATAGTTTTATACAGGTTACCTGTTTTGTCTTAGGTGCATTTTGAGAGCTTGTGGGTTTTAAGGAATTTTTCCATTTCATATAAGTTGTCTAATTTGTTTATATGTTATAATCTTATTGCCTTATCTATTTTCAGCATCTGAAACATCTAATATTCCTGCTTTTAGTCCTGATGTGGTCTTCATCTCTCTTCTATCATTTTTGCAGCTTTTTTAGGTATCTTAGTAGTTTCTAAGAATATATTTCCAGTTTCGATGACCTCTCTTAGTTTTCCATTTCATTAATTTCTGCTCTTTTATTTGCTCAAGTAGTGATAACACTTTGTATTAATGTAAGCATTTCATACCATAGTTTTTCCCTTTTAAGCACTGGGTGAGTTGCATTCCAAAGGTTTGGTATTTGGTGTCTTCATTTTCCTTCCAAGTATTCTTAATTACCTTGTGACTTCCTCTTTAGACCCATGAATGCTTTAAAAGTTTGTTGTTTACTCTACAGGTGTTTGGAGATTATCTTTCTTTTATTGATTTCTAGTTACATGCTCTTGTGTATTTATAAATTTTCAGTTATTTTAAATTAAGCCTCTCAAATATGGGGGCTCATGTCTTTTACTATCCATCCATTATTTCTTCAGGTACTTAATGCCTTTTGGGGCAGGTACTTCTGCCTTTTTCTTTGGGACTTCTCTGACATAAATGTTAACTCTTTTTTTAAATTGTCCCCATGGGTCCCTAAAGAGGCTGTTGATTTTTTTCCTCTGGCCAGTGTCTTTCTCTTCATTGTTCAGACAGGATAATTTTCTGTTGATCTGTCTCAAGTACACGATTGCAATCTCAGATGCTGGTATTTATTTACTTTTGGTCTTTTTGAGACAGGATTTTACTGTGTAATTCAGAATAGCCTTGAATTCACTGTGATCCTCTTGCCTTGGCCTCCCAAGTACTGGGATAATAGGTGTGCGCTACCATACCCAGCTCTCCAGTGCTGGTATTTAGCCCTTTGAGTGCATTTTAAATATTTGGTTATTGAATTTTTTCTGTTCCAAAATTTCCAGTTCTCACTTTATATATTTTGTTTCTTTGATAAGACTTTTTCTTCCATTCACATCAAGAATTTACGTGAATGGGCCGGGGATTTAGCTCAGTGGTTTCACCGCCTGCTGAGCAAGCGCAAGGACCTAAGTTCAATCCCCAGTACCAAAAAAAAAAGAAAGAATTTACGTGAACTTTGCTTTTGGAGAATTTTCATACTAGCTCTATTAAAATCTTTTCTGGTTAATTTTGTGTCATTTTGGCATTGGTATCTGAATTCTGAATGAGTTGAGATTTGGCCCTTTGTTTATATGCTGAGTAATCCTGGATTATGTTTTACTACTTGAACATTGTATAATGAAATTCTTGATCTTGTTTAAATCCTATGGAGAGTATAGTTTGTTTGTTTGTTTGTTTGTTTCTTCCTTCCTTTCTTTCTTTCTTTCTTGTAGGTTAACAGTCTGGTTGCATTGTAGTTTCATCTTTTTTCAAAGTTGTTATCTTCATTCTTCACATCTATGCTGCGTATATACTCGAGGCTAGTTTGAGACCTGGGTGGTGGTTTTAAGATTATTTCTGGGTTTATTTTACAGCTTTGATATACTACTTAGGTTTAAGTGCTTGGTACTTAGAATGAACCTAGGAATTGACATACAAGTTTATGGAGTTACTTTCTTAAGTTTCTGATAGTTTACCATTTCCTTGGTATTTTCTGATTTGTTGGGTCCACCCTGAATCCAGGTGTGTTTTTTTTTTTTTCTCATCCTGCCACACACATCCCACAACTATACCTGCATTTATTGTAAAGCAGTTTGTGGTTGGTTTCTCCCATTCCATGGAGTTCCTGCTTTGTAGTTGATAGGAAAATATTTAGATACTTGGAAATAAGTCAAATTTTACAGTTTTTTTTCTCAAACCTACCTGTACATAGATCTGGCCCTTTTTTCTTATGTCATTTCATTAATAGCAGAAATGAAAATTTTTTGAGATGAGTCTTATAAAATCCTCCCTCTCTTCTTTCCTTCCCTGCTGTTTTATTATATTTTTTAAACACCCACATTACATTCTGAAAACATTTGTTGCCCATTAGGATACTGCCTCTCCTCTCAAGTCAGAATCTTTTCTTAAATGACATCACTAATAAAAATGTATTTTGTTCAGCTGGAAATTTGGCAGATGTTTAAGTCTTCACACTCAGTATTGTCTGCTAAGCTTTTCTTGTGTTCATTCCTAGAGATTATGATTCAACAAATACATAATATAATAAATGAAGAAGACAGTCACCTAAATGCTCATCTCTCCTGTTAAAAACACGCTTGTATCAGTGCAGGTCATTATCTACATGCAGAACAGATGTGTGTGAGGAAGCTCGTGATGGTAGTGCTCCGTGGAGGTTGCTGGTTCAGTGATGTCGCCGTCATGCTGCCTCGGTCAGACACTCAGTCCCTCCCCATTGCTCCAGGCATAGTCCACTTTGGTCCACCCTCCTTGTGGTTGTTTATCTGAATCATCACTGGATCCATTTCTTATTTATAAACCAGTTCAGCAAAGCTGAACTTAATATTGTCTCATTATATCAAGTTTAAGGACAAAATGCTTTATTTTTTCACCTGTGCTATTGAGGTGCAACATACCAGTAGTAAAGTGCTTAAGGTGCACCAGTCATAATTGTGGAGCTTGAACTATTCACGCATATGTTTATGTGTCCCCCGTGCAGTCAAGACTTAGAACATTTTCTGCTCCTCCTAAGTCCCCTGAAGTTCTTTCCCTGAGTCAGCCACCATTCTTCTTATTTTTAGCACCACTGATAAGTTTGCCTGTTTCCATACTTCATATAAATGGAAGCATGTAATATGTAGTCTCATGTAATTAGTATTTTTAATCAAATGATTTTGTGGTCACCCTTGTTGAATGATTTAATATCATTATTTTTGGGGGCGGGTACTGGGGATCAAACTCAGAATCTTGCACTTGCAAATTATTATTGTTTTTGACTGCTTTATACTCAAAACATATCTAAACTCAAGATTCAATTGATTTTCATTTTACATTTTTCTTTCTTTTTTTTTTTTGGTACCGGGGATGGAACTCAGGTCCTTGCGCTTGCGCAGCAGCCAGCAAAGCCACTGAGCTAAATCCCCGGCCCGCATTTTAC